CATATACAGAGAGAAGGAAATACAGAGGGAAAGATTTTCCATCTGCAGATTCACTCCCCAAGATGTCCTAGTAGCTGGAGCCAGAAGCCTCCTCTGGGTCTCCCACACAGGTGCAGGGTCCCAAGGCTTTGGGCCGTCCTCCACTGCTTTCCCAGGCCACAAGCAGGGAGCTGGATGGGAAGTGGAGCAGCCAAAGACCCAAATCAGTGTCCTTATAGGATCCCAGCATATGTAAGGCCAGGATTTAACCACTAGGCTATCACACCAAGCCCTGAAAGGTTTATTTTTATTGGAAAGACAGAGAAAGACAGAAAGACAGAGAAGGAGAGACAGAATCAGCTATGTGCTGGTTCACTCCCCTAGATGACCACAATGCCTAGAACTGGGCTGGTCCAAAGCCAGGACTCAGGAGTTTCTTCCGGGTGTCTCATGTGGGTGCAGGGGCCCAAGGATTTGAGCCATCCTCTGCTGCCTTCAGAGGTTCATTAGCAGGTAACTGAATCGCAAGTGAAGCAGCCACGGCTCAAATTTGCACCCACGTAGTATGCCAGGAGCACAGAGAGGCTTAACTTGCTACATCAGGGTGCCAGTCCCAAGAAACTTGCCCTTTAAATAACTTTCCAGGGGAGATCATTTGGTGCAAGGATGAATAAATGCTGCTTGGGACATCTGCATCCCAAATCAAAGAGCTAGTGTTTGAATCGGCTCTGCTCCGGATGCCACTTGCTGCTTATGCACCCTGGCAGGTAGCAGGGTGATGGTTCAAGTGTTTGGGGCCCTGTCACCCGTGTGACAGACCTGGATTGAATTCAGTCTCCTGGCTTCCCCCTTCCCCAGTCCTAGCCATGGATTTTGTTTGAAGAGTGAACCGACAGATGAGAGAGCTCTGGTTCTTTTCCTTTCAAATTAATTACATAAAAGTTTTTTAAATGAGAGCATTTTTTGCCATGATAAAATGCCCATCTTGAGGCAGGAGCTACACACACTGTGGGCCAGGTGGATGGTGTTACACAGGCTTAGCCATCATGCTTAGGATTGGGCTGCCTTTTTATTTTTATGTCTTAAAAATGTAATTATTTATTCATTTGAAAGGCAGACTTACAGAGACAGAGAGATCTTCTGTCCACTAGTTCACTCCTCAAATGGCCACAATGGCTGGAGCTGAGCCAATCCAAAGCTAGGAGCCAGGAGTTTCTTTAGGGGTCTTCTATGTGGGTACAGGGGTATGGACGCTTGGGCTGTCCTTCACTGCCCTCCCAGGCCATAAACAGGGAGCTGGATCAGAAGTTAACTAGCTGGGACATGCCTCTTTCAAGGTTCAGGTTTGAAGCTGCATTAGGTGACTCTTTGAGGGGTCAGTCCCCAGGTTGGCAAGGTGTGAACACGTGGCCCTGTTCGGTGTCCCTATGTCCATTCTGCAGTTCAGCTGAGCCTGATTGTGCAGGGCCATGAATCACACAGCAGTGCGCGTGTATCCGGGGAGTGGGGACTAGGAGAGCTGCACTCCCAGACAGCTTTCAATGACAGGGATGACCGTCTGGGGTGGCTGTGCGTTGTCAGATGCATGCCCTTAGCCTGTGACATGAAGCTGTCCCTGATGGTAAGGGCCCGTAATGATGACTCCCACACTCCAGAACAACACTAGAGTTTTACCAAGCCGGAGCTTAGTGGCCCCTAGCTTTCCACACCTGAGCACGGCTTAGGCAGTGCCACTGTTTGTGTCAGACTTCTGTGATTTATCTTCCTGAAGACCAAAGTCTAGAGACAGTGGCTTGTGCCACCACTCCTTCCCCCTTCTAAAATCACAGCAAGGCCTAGATTTGTTAAAGCTGCTCACCTGTTAAAGATACAGGGGCCGATGCTGGGTGGAATGGAACAAATACAGACCTGTGCTGTTCCGGGCCCAAGTTCACCATCTACAAGCTGAGATTCAGTATCCTCATGTGTCAGTGTCATCCTGGTTAGATCACTGTTGAGTGTTGGGAATACATAGCACACTCTTCATTGGCACCTTGAACTAATGGGCAGTCAATAAAGCAGGGAAGTATTGTCATTGAGATTAGCGATCGGGGATGGAGTGTGTTTGCGAAACACGAGCTGGAACTTGGCAAGAAATTCCTATGAAAGACGATCGAGGGAACTAATCTCTGCAGACAGTGTGGTAGCCTGGCACCTTGTGGAACAGAGCAGGTGTCCACGGAGAACCTTTGCCACACATGGTTCCCAGGATTTATCATATGTGTGCATGGGAGCATCATTTGTATGAGAATCTACAATGACTTCAAAGCAGCCTGGGTCCAGGGCCACCTCTCCCTTCTGCCTCTCCCAGCTGAAAAAACCATTTGCTGCTGCCTCAAGCCAGCAGACCCTCTGCTTGGTCAGCCACAGCAGCAGGACAAGGCCTAGTTTTCTCAGGATGGGAGAAAGTGAGGACAGCCCCAGAGCCCTCGACTGTCTCGGCTTCTGGCCTGGAGTGTCCCGCCACCCCCATCATTGTGGGTCATCCCACAGTAATGCTGTCTTGGTGAGCCACTGGAATAATCAATGAGTCCGCTAAGCCCTCTGGGGGCTGCTGGTGAATCAGCCTCCAGCCACCTCGCCCCCTCTCATCTTGACCGAGCAAGGAGCACTCCCAGCCAGGACTGACGCAAGTCTGGCTAATGGCTTTTCGGTGTCAGCCATCGACCTTGATCCACTTCCTGCGTATTACTTGAGGGTGTGGGAGGGCCGTGGCAGCCCTGACTCCTCTACCAGCCAGCCTCCACACCCCTCAGGACCCTGAAAGAGGGTACCTAGCCCTAAAGTAGATCAGCACTAATGTGAGAACTTAATGTGAAATTCATATCACATAAGATCAACCTTTTTTTTTTTTTAGTGACATGTCTTAAACAGTTCAGTGGCATCTAGAACATTTATCACATTACACAACCACCATCTCTTCTCCAAAACACCTTGGTTGCCCAATAGGAGATGCCAGAGTAGGGCTGCCATTATCACGATGCACCACACACTGGGTGCTGATCACCTCACAAAATTGAGCTGGAGTTAGGGTTGGTGCCTTCAGATTCCCATTCTGGGTCTCAATCCTTGGCCCAAGGGTAGCCATCCTGTCATCACGGTCCTCTGTGCCCGTCTGTTTCTGAGCCCTGATTTCCCTTTTCTGCTAGAGTGTTGGCCCTGTTGGATGTGGACCCAACCTGATGACTTGTCTGGAGACCCCATTTCTGCAGTAGCTACTGTTCTGAGGTCCTGGGGTGGGGGTCAACTGCATCCTCTGAGAGGCTGGAGACAAGCTTGGCTACTAACACTTTTGACGCAATTTTGGGACTTAGATCCTGTTTGTGCCTGAATACTATTCCACTGTGTGGAAGCCTTGTTGGGTTTGTTTGTTTGTTTTTTAAATTTTGAACACCAAGCACAGAGCACCTTGTGACATTCACCCCTGCTGAGCAGACACACGTCTTGTCCCAGGCACCCATCTGCATGAGGCCGGCCTCGCTCTCTCGGGCAAGAGCTCACAAAGCTCCAATCTGGAAGCTTCTTTCCATTATCCTGCTTCCTATAAGAGCACTCATCCATCTGTATGAGCGGAAGCCAGAGCCATTCTGGGCCCTCGGGAGGTTGTCCACACTTCTGAAGCAGACCATCATTGTATAAATGGATTTTCTCCTTGATTTGCCTCTCTGCACTTTCTCCTCCTGTCCCCAGCACCGGCCCCTCCCCTCAGGCACGCATGTGCACACACACGCATATAGTGCCATAAAAAAATGTTGAAAAGACAGACCCTTCTAGGCAGGGGCGGGAAGCCCGGCCCTTTGAAAACCCAGGCCAGCTGCTGGCTCCCATTGTCATGGTTACTGGCCTGGTCCCTGGGGCTGGTTGTGGACTAGACTGTTAGAGCTTTCTCACACTCCCCTCCCTGCACCTGCCTCCAGCAGGAGCGAGGCACCTTTAGAAGAGCATGTTCTGCTAGCTCTGGAAACAGCTGTCTTTGGGTCTTATATGTCTCATCTGCTCCCTTAATCTGAAATATATCTCTCTCCTATGTGTGAGGTCTACGGGCCTCTCCGCAGGCCTGGGCGCTTGTGGGAACAATTCAGTGTTAGCATTAGCTTGTGGCATGCTCAGCCTCTATCTGCCCGTGTCAGAGGCCTCATGGCAATTGCACTCTGTGTATTTGAGGAGAAAGGGGCCTGCTGCCCCTGCAGGAAGGACCCTGCCCAGGTCACAGAGTCCCACCCCAACACTGAGCACACTCAGCCCCTCGCTGCACCAAGTGCCACCCCCTCCACCTCTAGCGGATTGCTTTGGTCACTTTGGAAGTCTTCTGGGGAAGAAATAAGTGCTGGCTCCTGGGATTTTCTGAGAGACAGGATAAAGTTCCTGTTGTGTGGGCATGGCCCCGTCTTACCATTTCTGGGTAAGACTTGTGGCTTGTCGGACCTGGGGCTTGAAGGCACCGGTACAGTGAGTGGACTGGGGTGACAAGGACCTTGCCATGCCACAGGTGCCTCGGTTCCCCTCACGGTGGGGCATGGGCAGCTAGGGTTTTGTAAAGCTTCCAGGTGATGGTAAGGTCCAGCTTTTGAAGGAGACAGAGTCCTCCAGAGCTGGAGTCCACCCTGAGAGAGAACAAAGACACAGGTGATGTCTTCCTCTGCGGGCAGTTAGGACATGCCCTAAGTCCAGCCCAGTGGGGCTTCAGTGCCAGTGAGTTCTGATCAGACAGAATGGGAAGCCACTCTGGTACTCCCCCATGGGTAGCAGCCAGACCACACACCAGCCACCCTGGGGAGAAGCAGTGTTCATAGAAACAGACAGCTTCTGCCATCTTCTTGCCTCTCGTTGTCTTCCTTGCTTCCCAGCCCCATGTGGCATTTTTCCTTCTCTGCAGAAGGTGCCTGTGAAGTTGGCTGCCAGCTGGCGGGCTATAGTTGGGAGGGGGCTGTGGGCACAGGCCGGCCATGGCACTGACCTCTCCTTGTCTGTATGCTTTACAGTACAAAATTGGACAGCTGTACATGATCAGCAAGCACAGCCACGAGCAGAGTGACCGTGGCGAAGGGGTGGAGGTCGTCCAGAATGAGCCCTTCGAGGATCCGCACCACGGCAACGGCCAGTTCACAGAGAAGCGCGTATACCTCAACAGGTGAGTCCTGGTGGCCACGCATCTGCAGGCACCTGCTGCCCCCGACCCTGCTGTGCAATTGAGTACAAGGCAGGACACATCCAGGAGGAGAAGGGCACCTGGAAAGTTGCTGTATGCACCTGCACGTGCATCAGCAGGAGCCTTCACCTCTGCTCGCCCAGTACTTGATGATACATTAGGAGGGACTCAGACCTTAAGAATCCAGGGAGGTTGTCTTTCCCTTCCACTGGTGTTGGCTGTGGGAAAGAGGTGGTTCTGCCTACAAATCAGTCACGGGTGGTTCTGCCTGTGGCTTTTAAAAATTATTATTGTTATTATTTATTTGAGAATCAAAGAGACAGCGACAGGCAGATAACTCCCATTTACTGTTTTGCTACCCAAAATGCACAGCAGTCAGAAGTCTTGAAGGCCAGGACTGCAATACAGGTCTTTCCCAGGAATGACAAGAAACCAGTTAGTGGCATCGTCACCATTGCCACCAAGGCCAGCCCTGGAGCATCAGCAGCCAGAGTCAAGTGTCACCCAAAGCTACTCAGGTGCAGGAGATGGACTTTTTTTTTTAAGATTAAAAAACAAAGATCTATTTATTTGTTTTTATGGGAAAGGCAGATATACATAGATAAGAAGATGCAGAGAGAAAGATCTTCTGTCCACTGGTTCACTCCCTAAGTGACTGCAGTGGCTGGAGCTGAGCTGATCCGAAGCTAGAAGCTTCTTCCAGGTCTCCTGCACGAATGCAGGGTCCCAAGGCTTTGGGCCAACCTCGACTGCTTTCCCAGGCCACAAGCAGGGAGCTGCATGGGAAGTGGAGTAAAAGATGCCGGGACCTAAAGATGTATTTTTATGGAAAGACAAAGTTACAGAGAGAATAAGAGACAGAGAGAGAGGTCTTCTATCCACTGGTTCACTTCCCAGATGATTACAGTAGCTGCAGGTGAATCAATCTAAAACCAAGAGCCGGGAAGTTTATTCCAGGTCTCCCACGTGAGTGCAGGGTCCCAAGGACCAGGTCTCTCACATGAATGCAGAGGCCCAAGGACCCAGGGCGTCCTCTGCTGCTTCCCCAGGCCATAAATAGGAAGCTAGGTTGGAAATAGAGCAACTAGGACTCTAACCAAGCCTCATATGGGATATCAACACCGTAGGTGGAAGCTTAGCATACTATGCCACAGCACCAGCCTCTGTCTTAACTGCTGGGCGATAAGACACTCCATTCCCTAACAAGAAAGCATTTCAGTAGCTACAAAGGAAATGACAAAGCAGCCACCTGTGAACAAAGTGAGGTGTGATGGCCATCGCTTAGGCAATAATAGCCCCATCCTCCTCACGGTAGGACTCAGCACTCTGCTTCCCCAGGGGTAAAGCATGGAGGGCTGTGAACTAGCGTAATCGGAAGCCACCACATGCACATGGCGAGATGTCCTCTTTAACCTCATGGATGGCCAGAGCTGGTCTGATCTTCCTCCCCATCCCTTTTGCCACTCTAACCCATCCTCCTTGCAGTCCTCTGTAGGCAGGTGCTATGTGAGATGTGTTTTATTGAAATTAATGGTCCTGGGCCCGGCGCAATGGCACAGTGGTTAAGGTCCTCACCTTGCATGCCCGGGATCCCATATGGGCGCCGGTTCTAATCCCGGCAGCCCCACTTCCCATCCAGTTCCCTGCCTGTGGCCTGGGAAAGCAGTTGAGGACAACCCATAGCTTTGGGACCCTGCACCCGCGTGGGAGACCTGGAAGAGTCTCCTGGCTTCGGATCGGCATAGCATTGGCCATTGCACTCACTTGGGGAGTGAATCATCGGACGGAAGATCTTCCTCTCTGTCTCTCCCCCTCTCTGTATATCCGCCTTTCCAATAAAAAAAAATAATAATAAAAATAAATCTTTTACAAAAATTAAATAAATCTTTAAAACAAAAAAAAATAGAAATTAATGGTCTTACATAATCCTTGCCTTGGGCCTCTGCAGTTGTGACCTTAAGTTCAACAAGTATCCCCAACACAACAGCGGGGCAGTGCCCACAGTATATATTCACTGTGAATACTGAACCATGATCAGAGCCTTGGCCTTGATCAGAGGTTTCCAAGACAGGCTGTATCTGAATACCATCAGTCTCACATTGCATTCACTCTCTTGCAGGCCCAAGGGCACTGTTCCTTCTCAGTGGGAGACTTTGGGGCCTGTCCTTGGACTGGATGGAAGTCTGCAGACCAGTACCTGACAGGGAAGTCCCTGGTGGGATTAACTCCATGCCTTGTGTGCAGGGGTGTTTCAATATTTATTTGAAATGCAGAACAGAGAGGGAGAGAGAAAGACACATACAGAGAATGCTGCCAGGCCTGTCTTCCCTCCTCAAATGCCAGCCCAGGGAGAAATGAGTTGGGGCTGAAGCTGGGACCAGGTTGCCCATGTAAGTGGCAGGAACCCCAATCTTGAACTGTCATTGCTTCTTCCCAGGGACTGCATTGGCCAAAATTTGGAGTCAGGAGCCAGGACTGGGAAACAAATTCAGGCAGTTGCATGTGGAACTCAGGTGCTTTTGATCATGAGGCTGGGTACCTGCTCCCAAACCAATGCATTGTGGTCTAGGTGAGGGTGCAGTACCAGGGACATCCTGAGTCACGATGAAATGCAAATGAGATCAATTCCATTCATCTGTTAGTCGCTGTGAATTCCCAGAACTTGGAGCTGGCTCAGCTTCCAGCCAGCTGTTGATTTGCTGGAGGAGCTAGCTGCAAAGCTGGCTTGGAGACAGTCTCCTTCCAGAAACAGATTTAGTATGCAGCTGTGGCATTCTTAGCATGGAGGGGGTGAAGGAGCAGGTTTGCCCTCCGGGATCACCTCTGTAGAGCCGGAAGGCAGGGGGAGTGCAGGAAAGGAGAAACTTTGGAAAATTCCATTTCTGAGTGGATGACTACATTCTCCTAGGTTGGTGCCTGGGGAATGATCCCCAGGCACCAAAATCAAGAAGAAAAACAATTCCAAAACTTTATAACTTTTCTTGAAACAGAATGAGAAGTGTCCAGCTGTCTCTTTCATGTCTGTTTTCTCTATCAGAATATACGGTATTTATTTTAAAGGAGAATCACAAAATAAAATCCTTTATTTTAAAGGAAGAGGGAATTTTGTTATAAATAGAGTATGTGCACTTCCAGTAACACTAACTAAAAAGATTAATGGGGACCCTCCTCCACTTCCTATGACAAACACGGGATGAAATACAGCATGAAGCTGATCTCAGAACAAAGCAAAGGACCTCCTCAGGTGCAGAAGATAAAGATAGGGTCCAGTTAGCATGGCAAGCAGGCCAGCTAGTGCCAAGGAAGCCAGGAGTCGGCCGCACAGACCATGCCTAACGCCCCGTGGCTGGGTGGGGCATGCTAGTAAGGCGACAGGAAGTGTGGCCTTGGGCCCACATATGTGGGAAGCTGGAAATGGAAATCAGGCCTAAAAATAGGTTTTGACAATCCAGGGCTGGAAAAGGCTATTACTCAGAGACCTGCATTAAAAAAACTACTTAAAAGATGTACTTTAAGAAAGAGGAAGTTGATGGGCTGGCATCGTGGTGCAGCAAGTAAGCTGCTGCTTGCAACTCCAGCTTCCAAAATGAAGTGTTGGTTGGAGCCTCAGCTGCCCCACTTCCAATCCAGCTCCCTGTTAATGTGCCTGGGAAAGCAGCAGCAGATGGCCCAAGTGCTTACCTGGGAAATCAGGAAAGAATGTCAGGCTCTTGAAATTCCCACTCTCTTCTCATTGTCATTTTCTCTATGCCTTCTCCTTTCTGCTGTTCTTTCTAATAAATTCATGTTTTTCAAAACTGGTGAAATCACATACATTTTCATGGTAAGTTGAAATAAAGTCACTTTTCCGGCTACCATTACAACTAGGGACGACCGTATGATCTAGCCATTGAGATGTAAAAAGAGACAAATGTCCAAGAAGATTTTCTTTCCTAGTCATGAGAATCATATTCAGTTTATTAAAAAAGAGGGAGGGAAGGGGATTGTCTGCTGGAAAGACAATGAATAGTGCCTACCACATGAATCTAAATAACAAAACTGAGCCATAACAGTACAACAAGCAAACTTACAAAACAGACTTAATTAAAAACACAGGCATGGTGACCTTAAATAAAACATTAGCAAATCCAAAACCCCAGAGAATAATAATAATAATAATAATAAATAATTCATAACCAAATCAGATTATCCCTGAAATTTATTCAATTAGCATTGAACAAATCTTTCTGTCTATCTGACCACAGTTAATTCAGGAATACAAGTGATCACCTCTACTATCTAATGTTATACAAAGGGACAAGCCAGTGTAATGAAACAAAGAAAAAAAAAGTTGTGATTTGTAGGCAATATCATCTGATAAAAATTTCAGACAAATTTATCAGATAAATATCTGATTACAAAAATTCAGACTTTCCAGGCTGCTGTTAATATCAAAATTAAAATTTGTCAATATTGTTGGGTGTGAATTCCTATGTAGAAATGAGCAGCCTCATCCCACAGCATCTACAATAATTTTCAGTATACATCAGGAAAATGTTGTTTTAAGAAATTACAATTTCCAGGCCTCGCACAGTAACCTAGCAGCTAAAGTCCGGGATCCCATGTGGGCACCAGTTCTAATCCCGGCAGCCCTGCTTCCCATCCAGCTCCTTGATTGTGGCCTGGAAAAGCAGTGGAGGATGGCCCAAAGTGTTGGGACCCTGTACCTGCGTGGGAGTCCCAGAAGAGGCTCCTTGCTCCTGGCTTCAGATCAGCTCAGTTCTGGTTGTTGCAGCCACTTAGGGAGTGAATCGTTGGACGGAAGATCTTCCTCTCTGTCCCTCCTCCTTTCTGTATATCTGATTTTCCAATAAAACTGAAATAAAAACAAAAAAGAAATTACAATTTCCACAGAAAAAGAAGATTCAAAGGATCCAATAATAAAACTACAAGACATGCACCAGCTTCTGAGAAAAGAGTGAAACATTGGTGTCAGACGTTTT